TGAGCTCCTGCTGCTGTGCAGCCACTGATTAAAATGTTTTCTCTTTTAAGGTCCACCCGGGAAGAAAAGAGGTTATTTTATGGTCTGGTGGCTCCCTAACCTGGACAGAAAATGTCTTATCTTTCCATTCCCATCATTTTAACTTCTTCTTCTTTCCCCTCACTATGGCAGAAAGAATCTTTTTCATGTGTGCAGCCTGAGGTGTCTAAACTAAAATATTTATAGTTTGTCCAATGTAATACTTCTGCTTTACCAGAATCTCAGTATTGCTGTTCATGATCAAGAACAAATAATGCAAATTGTTCCCAGTAGCAATTTAACCGTTGGCTAAATGATGAAAATGTCTGTTAAGAGCTAATGTGAATAACCAGTAAAAGACAAAAAACATGAGCACATTTTCAGCTTTGCAAACATTTTAAGTTGTGCTGTTTTTTAATGCTATTTTGAACTGTTTCTAAATAGGTGAAGAATAATCTGCATGATAATAACATCCACAGTCCAACAAAATCACGAGCACAAGAGGAGAGACGCTGGAATGAGTCTCAGAAGAAATAAATGCACTCTGAAACAAGACTCATGGGGTTTAGGGTTTAAAATACTAATACTGATAACACTCATCCATCAATCCATCCATCCATTAACCAATCTATCAGTCAGTCGATTTATCTATCTGTCTGTCTGTCCATCCTATATCTAATCCATATTTAATCTCTTCTGCCTTTAATAAATAACTTTCTTGTGGTATTAACCAAGTTCTAAGTAAAACCGGTCTACTTGAGAGATTTGAAAATTTCTCCATCGTTTTTCATGGTTTTGGCCATAAAGTTCAATTTTAATTGCAGCATTCAACCTTTATTTATACAGGTTAATCCCATTGCGCCTCGGGGACTCATTTACAAGAGAGACCTGAGCAGTCATGAGGACTGGTTTCCCAACCTCAGATGAGAAACTTCACGTCTTCCTCTGGAGAAATGTTTTGTGTTGTGAGAACAGGAAGGTTGTTTTCTGTCGCTCGTTCCAGGTTTGCTTCTCCAGCATGAGGAGTTCTACGAGCCTGCAGACTAGTCACTAATTAAATATCCACAGAGTCAGAGTCAGAGTCAGAGTTTCTTTATTGTCATTCGCACCTCATGTGGTACATGTGGTGGAGCGAAATTATGTACACAGGGTCCCAGTTACATCCAACAATAAAATGTATAAGAAAAACAGTAATAACATCTAAGATATGAACTAAGAAAAACATCAACTAAATATACACTAAGCACTCATAACATAAAACATTGAACATCAGCACAAACATGAACATGAGTCTGTGAGCAGATGTGCACGCATGAACACATCAACATTGAAACAGATCAGCAGCAACATGAAACAGATCAGCAGCAACATGATATGGTTTTTCACAGTGATTATTCTAGTTAGAGATTCATGAGTCTAACAGCCTCAGGGTAGAAGCTGTTCCTCAGTCTAGTGGTTCTACACTTAATGCTCCTTAACCTCCTTCCTGAGGGGAGTGGGGCAAAAAGTGTGTGTGCTGGGTGAGTGGGGTCCTTCAACACAGGAATGTGTTCCTGAAGAAAATCTTATCTCCTCAGAGCTTTATCCACGTTCGTGCACATTAAATATTTCAGTGTGTGAGCAGGTGCTCTGTGGAGCTGTTTTCTTGAACGCAACTGTTTGTTCAAACTTTAGCACCGCGCTCCTTACGTTCAGTGAATTAGATTGTTTCCACATGAAATTAAGAACGCTTTGTCTTAACTTTACATTTCGTAAAGTTCATTTATTATTTTAGCTTTTAACTGTACCAGACATGCTTCTTAACTCTGGTCGACTTGAGTTGCAGTCAGGGTTGAATTTTAATCCATCCTCATGTTCCATCGTTGTGTTATCACTTAAGGAGACTTTCAAAGACTGAAGCAATCATTTTAAGAATTAATTTTTAGAGTGTGTTTTTACTTTTTACTTTCTTTGTTCAGAATAAAATAAAATCCTTCTGGCCAGGTTTTGTATTGGCATGGGAGCAAACAAGGCCACACTAAGCAGATTTTAGTCATCCAGTCTTTAGACGGTGAGACAATATTAAAGTTGCAGGAACGCTCAGAGACTGAGCTTCTGTAATTACATCATTGAAGCTGGTAGACTTCATCAAGGTCAGTCATGTTGTCACGGATTAGCTGTATTTAATAAAACCCTCAGCCTGCATTATTGTTGTTTATGTGGAGACTATTGATCAATTTTCTCTGTAGCTTTTCTAATAAATTTTGGGTCATTTTTTGTATATTTACGTATAATTTGGGGCAAAAATATGACTTATGTTGCCTTTATAGGTCAATATTTTTGACCAAATATTTGCAACAAAATTCAAATCAACCACTAAACCAATGCAGAGGATTGAATGCAAGCTGTGAAACAGTGAGCAGCATATGGAAGTCACCTCTCTACTCATAGTGAGGATAAATGTACATTGTATTTTATACTATATCAAATACTTTGACTTTTTTATTTTAGTCTCTTTTTTTATAAATTCAAACAACAATTATTTAGCCTTGTTGGTAGCTCAAAACCAATATATGAATGGCTAAAATGTTTAATGTGGTAAAAAAAATGGCATTAATTGTGTTTGTATCCACCTTTTTATGGAAGCAATTAAATTTTAGAAACTGATGTTTATCTTTTCAAATTACTACAAAACAAGTGTCTGTAATTGTTGTTTGCTCATAAACTAGTATATTTTTACTTACTTAACTTGTGCAATATTTAATACATTTTAATACTATGTAACCATTTCCTTTTTTTAGAGAGATGATGTTGTCTATCTAAGGTCATTCATGTGTAACAGATTATAGTGTCAATCTGCAACCTGCGGCGACTACGCAGCTTTTTGCTGTTTTGACCAAAACCAGCATAAAAAGTATTAATCTCCTGATGCATGCTTAATAATCCAGGAAGAAAAATCTAAAGTTAAGTCAGGTCCTCTTTTATCCAAAAGACTTCATCATTGTGAGGAGCTGCAGTAAACTCAGTGTTATAAATAGCACCTTCTCATAGTGGATCAACCAGTTTGCTGTTCACATGATAAAGGAGGACCATCAGCCTAACAACGGATCGTTAGTGCCCTGATGGCCACTTGCAGCTTGCCCTCTGTGAATAGCAAGTGGCATGCATATATCTAGACCAGGGGTCTGCAACCTGCGGCTCTGGAGCCACATTTGGTCCCTGTGCAGCGGCTCTTTCAAGCTTTGACCAAAACAGACATAAAACTGAATTTTATCAGTTGTTATAACAACTAAAAGAAGAAACATAACAAGGAGTAAAACATACTCACGTTCACTTTATATGCTTTATTTCTTCAAAGTAGGATATGTAATTGTTCTACAATTAAAAAAAATCACATAAGAATGCATAGTTTATTATTTTAGTTTTTAGAAACTGGACAAAAACTTTTTTTTTCCTTCCTTACAAGAATCTCATATTTTATTTTGTCTTAGAATGTAAAAATACATATAAAATGTTGAAAATTATTAGATATTTTTAGTTTTATGAAATCACCCCTACTGTCCAGAAAGGCACCCTCCAAGTGGTCTGTGGGCCACCAGTTGAGAATCCCAGTTGTAGCAGGTATTGTGGCTCCGGACACGTTTAATTTAGTGAACAAAGGCAGAAATGGCTCATTTGATCGTAAAGATTGCAGACTCCTGATCTGGACATTATTATTTGAGAAGGGGATATTTATAAAACTGAGTTTATTGCAGCTCCTCAGACTGACAGGCTTTTGGATAAAAGATGAAATGTTTCAATAAAGAAGAATCAGTCCAGAGGACCTGACTTAACTTTTTGAAAAAGTAGTAATATTCACATTCATAACCACAATAGAAAAGGTAATTTAAGGAGTTTTCTGTCCATTTATATTAAATGTCTGAGTAAAATATCCATGACAGAATGATATTAAGCCAAGGAGCAAAACAAATTAATCAGTTGTTGGCTACTTCATTGATGCAACTTCCTGTTGTCTTTCTCTGAAATCCAGCAGAAGATTTATGAGCAACTTGCTGCTGGGGACAGAAGACGGCGTTACACACTTATTATATGTCCAGAGTCATCAAAACTATTTTTTGTAAAAACAAAAAGGCAAGTCATCTTGAGAAGAATTGGAAGTCTTGCATAAATAAATGAAGGTCTCTGCTTTAATTACTGTGAAATAAATCCAGTAAGTCGCAATTAAATGTCCAATAACTTCACCCAATGTTGTTACTTTTATAATTTACTAAAGTGTCCGTAAAGGTTTACATTTCCAAACTGTAGGCTTCTATTCATTTTTCACAAGAATACAAAAGACTTGCACTGGTTCAGTATTTAAATGTTATGCAAGAGGTTAAAAAAAAAACTTTTTTTAATTCTTCAAAGGAGTTTACGCTTTTTGTCCTGGCAAGCAAAAAATATAAATCAATAGAAACTATTTATTATAAACCTTGCATTTCATAATGTATATAAGTCTATATACATATTACCAACATTTTAAGGTAATTTTAGTGTGAATTAAAAGTAGTTGACCTTAAATCATGCATGTTTTGTGGCTCTTTTGCTTGCAAAGCTTGCAGAGCCCTGTGTTAGTGACAGCTTGTGATGCAGAGCTGACAGGAGGGAGCGGTTTAGTGGAGAGCTCTGGTGGGCTAGTTTGGTATTCCACCAATTCATTCAAACTTTTCAGAGTTTGTGTTTAACTGAACTGTTTGTCCTCTAGTGCTTTCATCTGAAACATCAGCGTTGACCTAAAACACATCATTTCATGTGATGTCATGTTTTTAAAGTGCTCTATCACTGCCGTAGTGCGTTATTTCCTGCGTAAAGATACCGTCTGACGCAATTTCTTCACTGGAAAGTGTGTCAGTGCTGAAAAGAGAAGATACCACACACCTTCACATGGTCATTTTTATTATTATTATTATAGAAAAATAGTTTTTATAAAAACAAATAAGTTATGAATTCCAGCAGCTGCTTTGTATTATTCCTCTATAATAACATATTTTACCTTCATCATTCTCTATCTCACATACGCACATACACACACACACTTGGGCTTGCTTGTGTTGGTCCCTTCACAATCCATGAAGTCCTCCTCTCCTCCGCTCAGTTCAGAGCATCTTCAGTCCTCCTGAACAGATTAAAACCTGCTGGATTCATCCCTCTCTGGGAGGCTGTGGCCTACTTCCCGTAGAACATCTCCATGAGCACCTCCTCGATGTTCACCGCTCCAATGATGGGCCTGAAGAAGAGCTGGGCGACCACCGAGGGGCTGACGGCCCTCAGCATGGACAGGGCAATGAGCAGCTTGGCGAAGCGCGTCGTGTCTTCACGGTGGATCAGCCGGACGTGTTCGTTTAGAGCCTGGTGCGCCTCCCGACGCAGCGACTGGATGTAGTGCAGACAATGCAAACCCTCCAGATCTGAGACAGAGCAAAAGAGAGGAAGGGAGGTCAAGTTTCAAGCGCGTGCGTGTCTGTCACTTTGAACGCTTTTGATTTATTTAGATAAATCGGTCTGATTTAGCATGATACGAACAAACTTCTGATTATAGCAATGTCAATATCAATTATAGTATAAACCCACATTTTCCTCACTTTCTCTTCTTTCATTACTATCACCAAAACCAGGTGTGGCATCAAGGACAATTACATCCAGTAATAATATTATGGTTGAGTCAGGCCCTCTGGATTGTTCATGGTTGGAATGTTTTGTTTTTTTATCCAAAAGATTTCTTCAGTCTTTTGGATAAAAGTTGAAAGTTTCAACAAAAACCCGTCCAGATTTATCCACCTGGATTATTGAGCGTGCATCAGGATGTAATGGTCCATGATTTATTGCAATCCAAGCAGTCAGTGCGCACCATCATGTTGCCATAAATAATATCGTGCAACCCCAACTTTCATTGTGGACCCACCTGGATTGAACAGCACCGCTCCCTTCAGGTACGCGTACTCCTTGGTGCTGATGTCGACACTCCAGCACTTCTTCAGGAAAGCTTTGATGGCCTCGATGTCCACCACGGACACCCCGGGCGCGGCGCGGCTCTGGTGCGCCTCGCTCTGCCGCTCGGGCTGACCCGTGAGGATGCGCTGCAACATGCTGGGCTCCACCGTCTCCGTGGTCTCAAAGTCCACGCGGTCCTGCGCGAGTCCCAGCACGAGCAGGGGCGCCCAGCCGCTCCGGATGAGCAGCAGCTGGTCGTCCTCCGGCAGCTCGCGGAAGCACGGCACGTTCTTCACGAAGCGCAGCGTCTTGACCAGCACGGCGGACGCGGCTTTGCATGTGACCTGGGGGGAGCGCAGGACCCCCCGGCGCCGCGTGGAGCCGCAGGAGCAGGCCTGCTGCTGCTGCTGCCGGAGCTCCTGCAGCGAGGCTGGGGGCGCGGAGGAGGAGGAGGAGCAGGAGGAGGAAGAGGAGGAGGAGGAGGGGGTCTTGTGGAGCAGGAGGTGCAGTGTTTGATGCTGGGCGTGCTGCTGCTGCTCCTCGGGGGTCACGAGGCTGTCGCTCTTCAGAATGCTGTAGAGAATGCTGCTGGTGGTCCGGGCGCTGGCACCCCGACAGCGGCAGCCCTCCAGGGTGGCCATGACCTCCAGCCGGGTCCTCTACATGAGCCGGGGGTCAGTGACAGGTAGCTGTTTTCTCTCACCCCCCTGATAGCCCCCCAGTGAAGGGCAGCCAGTTTCTAACAGCTCCCGTCTGTCCCCGCACTTTGAGAGATTGTTCCGAACTACTGCTCATTCCACCTCCCCAGAGTTACGCACCTCCTCTGTCTCCACCTCCTCTTTCTCTCTTTCCCTCTCGCTCATCTCTCACACGTTCAGTCTGCAAAAAGAAATATTTTTAGATTGCATTTTGTTTTATTATCAATTTACTTTTATCGTCTCTGTTCATTGGTTAAAAAAAAAAAAAAAGACTCCAATAAAACCCAAAACAAATAACCTGAACCCTTTAAGTTTTCATATGTCTACAGTAGATCATCAGTGAGGTGGATTATTAATTTCAACCTTGTTTTTAATCTGAGTTGACAAAATGACATAACTGTAAATAAAGCATCAAGAGAACTAAGATTATAGAATGAGGCTAAATTTACTGCCAGGGTCACCATGGAAACCATACACCTTTGTCTCTCAGTCTTTAAGGTAGCAGACAGGAATGTAGATTAGAAAGTAAGCCTCAGTCACTGTGCCACAACCATAAGAGGCAGAAGCATCATCTCACGTATATATGTATGTAACAGGGTTTTATGTAGGTGCAATCTCCTTCCTTACTCTGAGGGTGTATATCAGCGGAGCCAAACTCACAAAAGGGGGGCCAAAATTAAAACCTTTTTCCAAACTCAGGGCTAATTTCAGAAACTGCATTAACTCAAATCAGATATCCAACATCTTTTTTTGGTCGCAGGTTCCTCAACAAGAGTTTGATTGGTCTCATTTGGTGTTCTCTGTTGTGCTTTCAGCATCATAATCAAAGATTACTGAAAAAAATTCAAGAGCTAGAAGTATTTTACATATCACATGTCATCTTGGGGGCCAGCTAAGATGTCAACGAGGACCACATTTGGCCCCCGGGCCTTGAGTTTGACATATAGTTTATATGCAAGAAAATGTAGTATTTTGTGATTAAATAGATTCAAAGTGTGGATAAAGACAAAAATGTTATTTTGAACTTGTATGAACTTAAGTGTAAGATTTATGTGCCTAAGAACAGTTTGCAGAAATTTTGGAAACCTTAAACAGCTCAAAACTTAAAGTGCATCAACGTCTAAATTGCACACGTAAAAAAAAAAAATCTTAAAAAGTCTAAAACATAAAATGCAGTCATGTTAAAATCATGAGAGATATCACCAAAGTTCATGCTCAGTATCAATGTTCAGTCAGATCATCTGGATGGTTTCTTTTTTTTTTTGCTGAGACGTTTCATCCTTCATCCAAAGGACTTCTTCAATCTGAGGAAACACCAAACAAACTGATTTCCACAAACAGCACACTCCATATAACCAGTTTGCAGGTGCTAAAGTCCCACAAGAGAGATAACAAATCACCAGTTCAGTCCAACTTTCTGTGACCAGTTCAAACTTTGAATGATGCTTCTATGGCTGAGCCATAAACCTCCAAAGAGCGCTGGATTTTCTCATTGCTTTAGGTCTTTTTCTGCATTATTTCATTTTATTTTTGCTAATTTCGTGGGAGTGGTTTTGAAATGTGTGATAGAGACAGAATAATTACATTTGAATGTGGTCCTTCAGAACTCTTTATTAGACTGTTCAAAGTTTATTAGAGAGTTAAAAACACGGAGAATGACTCAGAGACAACCTCTCCTTCCAGTTCTACCTCAGACTCTGTGTTGCTGTTTGTTGTGCAGGAGCCAGTGATAAATAAAGAGCAGAGAAAGATCTGAAGGCTTAATTATTTAAGAGACAATTTATATGATTTTCTATAAGAGAAAAAAAAAAGTAGGAAGAACTGAGCTGTGAAGGCCAGCCTCCATCCTTGACTCGGACACACTGTTATTGATTTAACCGTGAAAACTGGAGCTGGTGAATTATGATGTCATGACTCAGTGCTCCCCTTGTCTCTGTCACTGAAGGAGGATGTGGGGGGAGCAGCAGAGGGGGAGAAGGGGGAGTCGGTAAACGAGAAACAGAGAAGGACAAGTTAGGATGAAGCAAATGAATAGTTCGTCGCTTCAAAGGGGCAGCTTTGACTGCTAAATGTTGAGAAGCAAAGAAAGAGGGACAACCTGATGAGATGATCAAGGACTTTAATTAACGAGTAAAAGTACTGCAAAAGTTTGTAAGGATCAAATACTATCTTAATCCCTGAGGCCTGTTCCTCATGAAACAACACACAAACAGAACTTAGGTGTCCGTTTGCTCCGTTCCTTCGAAGGACATGACTATGAATAAAGACAAGATAAAAAACTTCTGCTGTGGCGCTGCAACATTGTTCAGGGGACCACATGTCTTCGTATTGATTTAGCTGAGAGAGAGAGAGAGTGTGTGAGCGAGAGAGAATCAGAGAAATTTTTCACATGTTTATATCAAGGACACTGTGGGATAAACAGCCTTCACTCAGCTAGTCTCTTCTCCTGCTCAAGGCCCAGCCTGCATAGGTTATAAAAATCCTTCCGTCTCAAGGAGAGATTACATTATGTCTTGTTGCAAAAGCACAGAGCTGAAGAGACAGCACTCCATCACCGTTTGTCTCCCGCTTTGTTTCACTCCTGCGTTTCTTCCTGTGGTTTGTGCAAAATGTACTTTACCAGCTCTCTGCTTTACTCTTTTTTTAAAACACAATTTGTCTTAAATATTTCCCCCACTGATCCCGCCCAGTTCTCAAACTGCACACTGAGACTGCAGTGCTTTATTCTTAAGACTGAAGATGACAACATGTCAAATATTTTTGACAAAAAATGCATAAATATACATGTAATACAACTTAAAAATAGAAAATGTGCTAAAATTGTAGTTAATTTTGCATGCTGCTTCGTTGCTTAATTACACATTTGATTGTTTTTTGTATTTAGTATTTAAAGTGGTGATTCAGATGTTCGAAGTGTGATTCTTCAAGATTTTGATTAAACAATATCTTACCTGTTGTAGATTCCACTTTAAGAGAGTGGCTAGTCTGAGTAAAGCCAAGACCGAAATGATCTGCTGCCATCTTCAACCAACTCTAGTCTCAAAAATGTCATATTTCGTGCAAACATTGTCTGATGAACGTTTGCACTTCATCAATAACTCAGTTATTAACATAAAAATGTATGTATATTTTGCATGTGCAGACAGTAGCAGCAGCAGCTAACTGTAGCACTTCCTTTGTAACTTGGTGGAACTTTCAGCATGAATGTCCTATTATTTTATGCCATAGTTTATATTTTATGTAACAGTGATGTTGATGTTCAGATTTATGAAATACTTTTTTTACATGAACCACAATGAAATATTTGAGATGGGAGTTGTTTTATAAAGACAAAAGTCTATTTGGTCAAGTTATTAGCTTAACTATCTAATTACAATGAAAGTCTGTTTTCTTAATACTAAGGTCATTCATTCTCTCTAAGGGATTTTAAACAATTAAGTTCAATGTAGAAAGGTTCCTGTTTTTAGTATTTTACCTCGTTTCATAATGTAGCTTGATATTTTGTTTTATATCACTACTTTTAATTACTTTTCATTTTATATGCATTTTTATAGCTGATTATTGTTGTGTTATCTGTGGTTTTGACTAAAGGGGTCTCTCTTGAAGCTGCTGTATTCACACCCATCTGCTCACAACAGACTCGTGTTCACCGTATTATTTTACATTTTTATTGTTTAGTGTATATCTTATATCCTTGTATACTGTTTCTTTATTAATACTTTATATTTTTGCTATTTTTGGGTGTAACTGGGACCTTGCGCACACAATTTTGTTCCACCTCATTTATCACATGTGATGCGAATGACAATAAAGAACCTTGAAAATGAGTCCTCGTGACTCACTGAGACCAGCTTGTATAAGGTTGTAAAGGTTGAATGAATTCAAAGAGAAACAGTTGACAAAAGTTTTTAACCACACCTGTTTTTTATTCAAATCAGGCATTTTGGTCAGGGTTTTGACTGAACCCTTTATCGTCAGGAATTGAAAACCTTAATTCTTCAGTACATCATAACATTTTGGACATTTTTATTTTTTCAACGTTGTGGCATCACCTTGGAGAAGAACCTTTTCTTTTCCAACATGTCGATGGCTGCCTCAGTGCAGAGAGAACGACTATAAAACCAAAGTTTGATGAGTTCAGTGTTTGAGAACTTGACTGGCCCACACAGAGCCCTGACCTAAACTTCATCAAACACCTTTGGGATGAACTGGAGTGGAAACTGAGACCCAAAAGTTTTCATACAACAGCAGTCCCTGCCTCATCAATGCTCCACAGATTTCCACAGAGACACCTCAAAAGCAGAAAGTCTTCAAAAAGAGGAATGGAATCTGATATAGGTGCAAAAGTAACGTCCTTGTTGGCGTGATGCTCAGGAGAGGCCAATCCTTTTGTCCATAAAGTGCATCTACAACAGGTAAGATATTCTGTAACGTTTCAAAATATTGCCATAGAGCCTCACTTCAACAAATATGAACTGTGGCTTAAAGTTTTGAAGGAACGTGAAAATGTAGATTTTTTTCATGTTTCATTATTACATTATGTTTTGCACTATCACACCACTCTTTGAACACTGACTAAATCATCAGCTAAATCAAATGAACTGAATTATGTTCTTTAAATTGTGTGTGGGATAGATGTTAAAAGAATTAATGGCAAGTGCTCGTGGGGATCATGAAGTCAAAAATGTTATTGAACATAATGAAAGTCTACTTGATGATAACTGAAAATGAAATCAAATACTGAGATTTTCATTTTCATAATGCTTTATTTCCCTGTGAAAAACTAGTTTGTATTGAGTTTTTGTGATAAACAGCAGACTATGGCGAGGTGTCTGCTGCTCCAAAGTTCAATTTGAATAGCTCAGCATGGGGAGGCCGTCTCACAGCCTGAACTTTGTCAGAATATGAATCCTATTTTTTGAAAGCTGTTAAAGTTTATGTTTATCTGAACCTTCTAAAT